ATGTAGTTCTTAGTGTGAATACATTACTACAACGTGTTACTCATTATTTAACATGTAGTTCTTAGTGTGAATACATTACTACAACGTGTTACTCATTATTTAACATGATTGTAGTTCTTAGTGTGAATACATTACTACAAACGTGTTACTTATTATTTAACATGTTGTAGTTCTTAGTGTGAATACATTACTACAACGTATTACTCATTATTTAACATGTAGTTCTTAGTGTGAATACATTACGACAAACGTGTTACTCATTATTTAAAATGTTGTAGTTCTTAGTGTGAATACATTACTACAAACGTGTTACTTATTATTTAACATGTTGTAGTTCTTAGTGTGAATACATTACTACAACGTATTACCCATTATTTAACATGTTGTAGTTCTTAATGTGAATACATTACTACAAACGTGTTACTCATTATTTAACATATTGTAGTTCTTAGTGTGAATACATTACTACAAACGTGTTACTCATTATTTAACATGTTGTAGTTTTTAGTGTGAATACATTACCACAACGTGTTACTCATTATTTAACATGTTGTAGTTCTTAATGTGAATACATTACTACAACGCGTTACTTATTATTTAACATGTTGTAGTTCTTAATGTGAATACATTACTACAACGTGTTACTCATTATTTAACATGTAGTTCTTAGTGTGAATACATTACTACAACATGTTAAATAATGAGTAACTTGCAAAGTATGGACTTTATTTGGAGATAAAACACTTATATGTGCTGTTTTTATGTGAGTGTTGTATTATAGGATTCCAAATATGAGAAAGTTACCTAATTGCTACAATAATTACAAGTTCAAGTACTTGGTGTGTTAGAGGACAAGTGTTCGTATTAAGACAAACATTTTTTATTAACTAGAAATCACACTTGATGTTAGCTGTTTTGCTATACCAAGAGACGTTTTTAATATGCTCTCTCTTATTTTATTAGTGCAAAAAACTGTAGAAGTACCATATGTATTTCTTTATTAAACATGAAGAAACAGCTAATACTTGATGGCACTTCAGAATTGGGGAAATTGTAACTGGTTTTCCACTGTCTGTATGAGAGGCCTACAATTTCCTACACAGTTCTGTTCAAACGACAAAATAGAGATTCGTAAAAGTCCCTTGAACTTATTTTCAAGAAATGAAGTATAGGAAATTTACCTATGAACTGTGTTTCTATAGTTGTTCAAACTTTTCTGTTATTGATTCAATAGTTATACCCAGAAATTGAGCTTTTAACTTTATACGTGAATGAGGAATAGGTTTATTATAACACTTGTAAGAGAATTGTGTTTTGTTTTTGTGAACAAAACTGCTACTCTCATGGAAAAAGTTTGATGTATTCTGTAAGATCATCTACAATGTACAGAGTAACTGAAGACATGTCAAGGTCATTAACTTTAAACTGCTTATTGATGAAGCTGATCTCATACAGTAGAACTAGACACAGATTATAAATGTGACATCTTGGCAGTAATTACTTTCGCTTTAAAAAGCTTTTTTTTTTTTTATCTCTGTTAGAGTGTTGTTTTCTGCAATGGAACCAGCTACCATTAGAATGTGCAAACAGCATCCGTGCATGACTCTCATTTGCTACACACTTCAATGGTAAATGTGTTGCAGCAATACTTCTCAACTATGAATTGAAGCAGAAAAGTAAACGTGCTTTGAATCAAATCAAAGAATGTCTTGGTATAATAGTTGACTCTGTTATTAAATACAAGATTCATAAAGAATGCATTCCATGCAAATAATCTTGGATATAAGTCTCAATTTTATGTGTGTGTGTGAAGACCATCGTTCTTGCCTTTCATATTGGTTTTATTGTCATATCCTTAGCCTCACTGCTCTTCCAACGGTGGTGCCATTGCCTCAAGTTTGCTCGGAACAACTTTTGCTATACCAACAGTACTTGAGTCTTTCTGTGGCAAAAATGTTCATTGATATGTGACTCTATTCTGAACACATTCACAAGTTGTCATACCTGATAAAGTTGTAAATTTCCTTTATCTTTTGAAAAGCTAAACGTATCCAGCTCTCTGGACTTATGTCGCCCAACAATTTATGCACTGTTGAGTCAATTTTTGACCATATAGCTGGATCATCCAAATTAAATATACACGCATTTTTGCTGTTTGCTGCTTTCCTTCTTTAGAATTTCTTTTTTCTTGGGAAAATGAGGCATTTTAACAATTTCTGAGACAGCATAACAGGAAGTTGTAGAACCAGTCTTATCATTGATTTTAACATCAGTTGTTTCTTTACTTTCTAATAAAAGTATATTTATTTTAAAGCTTACATTGCAAAATTTAAAGAGTGCCCTCTTCTGTATTTCTTTTCTGATCTTCGATCATCAGAAAGATTGTTACTTTCATCAGCTGTTTTTTTTTTAATTCGCTGTTTAATCAGTTTTGACTATCAGTGTTTTAATTGGCATCTATTAAACTATCTTGCTTTATTCAAACTCTTTCAACACCAAAAAATATTTTATAAAGAAAAAAAAAAATCTGTACCGTACGCCTTATAAAATAATAACTGATTTGTGGAGCTCAGGCGTCAACTGTATACCACAGTGGCTTAATTTCCAGAGTTAATTTCCTTTTTATACTACCGGCTTCCTGAAAATAGAAACTTAAACTGTATAGACAGAGTTGCCAGAATAGAGGGGGGGGGGGCGAGTATTTTCTCTTAACCTCTCATAATGACTAGATTTTGTATCTATTCGATTTTTCTGTTTGCACACAACACGGTTTACTATGAAACATACCCGACTGTACATTTAACGTTACCTTCGACAAGACGATGTGCCTACTAATCATAATTAATACTACGTATTTCTGATTTTACTATCGTCGCCCTGGAAAGAGTTGAAATGAATGCCTTTGAGACATTCACTGAAGGATGTTTCATTGTGACTCGTGGCAGATAACATCTGTAAATTTAATCCCTTGGCACTAACTTAGTCTCATTTCATATCACTACATAGTAAATCAATTCTCTAAACTCTTCAGTAAAGATCTAAGATACACATTTGTGGATTTAAGCCAAACACTTGTTCATGTATGAGAAACTTTGGAGGAATGAGCCCAAGAGACAGATGTAGCAAGTGGCAGGAACTACAAGTATAGTT